AAAGTAAGCAGTAACTCTATGTGATGGTTTGAATGAAAATTTCCCCCACAGACTCTAAGCATTTGGACATTCTGTCCTCAATTGGTGGTGCTGTTTCGGGAGGTCTTAGAAGGTGTGGCCATGCTGGAGGAAGCACTGGGGGCAGGCTTAGAGAGTTCTTAAGCCTTGTTAGAACTTGAGTTACTCTCTTGCATCCTGTGCCTGCTTGAAGATGTGAGTGCTCTGCTTGCTGTTCCTGCTCCAGCCACCTCCTGCCACCATGCCTCCCACCATGATGGACTGTAATTCCCCTGGAACCATAAGCTCAAATAAACTCTTCCTTCTATAAGCTGCTTTAGTTGGAGTTTCTATCACAGCAAGAGAAAAGTAACTAATACACTCTACAAACATATTCAGCATTAATTGACATCTTTTTGATACCGAATCTTCCAACCTATGAAGATGAATTCTCTCTACTTAGGCTTTTAAAAATATTTCTAAATAAAGTTTATAGTCAACTATTCAAGGTTTGTGTATATGGAATGGTTTGTGTACTTAGAGAAAAGTAATGTTTCTCCTTCACCTTTACTATGATGGATTTCATGATGTTCAACCAGCTTTGCATTCCAATCTTAAGTGCTCATATCCTTGCTAGAAATTGCTAGTTTAATTCTGTAGTATTTATGGATTTTTTAAAAATCTATTGTCAGAAATAAGAAGCCATAATTCTTTTATAGTCTCTGATAATTTCGACAGTATTTAAATCACCTAAAACACACTTGAAGTTACATTTGTTTTCTATAGGTACCACAAGAAAGGACCATCATTTGATGGCTTAAAACAAAGTAAAACTTATGCTCTCAAAGTTCTTCAGGCCAGGAGTCTCAGGCCAGGTACTAATTAACAGACCCAGGCTCCCTCTGAGTCTTGGAACAAAGGCTCCCTTGCCTCTTAAGCTTCTGATGGCAACTGTTAACTGACTCAGGGTTGCATCACCCATTTCTACCTCCACCTTTACAAGAGCTCCTCATGTCTGCGTCTCAAAACTACACTCCCTAAATGATGTCTCTGAGACATTTTTAATCACATCAGCAAATTCCTTACTCCCAAACACAGTCATATTCATGGCTACAAGGAGTTAGTACTTGAATTTATATTTGGAGAGGGCACTATTTGTGCCCACTATGAGAAATGCTCCCTCTTTCTCTAATGTTGATTTCTGCACCAAAATGATCTTCCTGCTATAGCCCCTAACTCACTGAGGCTATAGGTGAGTAACACAAATAACTGGAAAAATAAGTTTCTTTAATGGTTGGAAGAAGTGAACAGAAAAAACTGTCTGGATTCAGTCTTCATGTAGAAAGATTTTAACATATCGGTTATGTTTTTTTAAGTTTTGGAGCCTATTCTCTTGAATTTAATTTCTGGTACTTGTCTATCCTTTCATCTAATTTTTCAAGTTACTCGCATTAGTTGTCTATATTAAGCTTTTTAAAAACATCTGGAGCCTGTATAATTATGTTTTCTGTATATCTAATATGTTTGCATGTTCCCTTTTTTTCTTAACCTTCTATAGCTTGGTTGACATTTTTCTTTTTTCTTTTTCTTTACATTTTTCATTTTTTATCAAATAATTAAACTTGGCATTTAGAAATTCTTCCTAGCATTGTTCTCCTTATTAATTTTTGCTCATGTTTGCCACTTATTTCTACAGTTTTTGATTCATTATTGGTTCTTTTCTAACTTTGTATGTGTGCATGTGTGTCCATGTATGCACATATGCAAATGCATATGGATGTCAGAGTAAAATCCTGGGTGTTGTGTTGTTGCTCAGGCACTGAGCACCCCTTTAAAAAAAATTCTTTAATTATGTTTCACTGGCTTGGAACTTGTCAATTAGGTTAGGCTGGGTGGCCAGTAGTCCCAAAGATCCACCTGTCTCCACTGCTCAGTGCTGGAATTACAATCTCATCCTACCACATTCAGCTTTCTTACAGGGCACTGGGTTCTGGACATTGAGTGCAGGCTCTCTATGTGTTCACCATATTGCAGTTGATATAACAGACCTGAAAAGGCACTGAACTCAGCAACTGAGTATTTCTGTCTTTCTTAAATTTTTATTTTTTAAATATATATATTTTAATATTTTATTATTTTATTTTATGTGTACGAGTGTATTGCCTGCATGTATATGAGTGTACCATGTCATGCAGTGAACAAAGAGGGTGTCAGGTCCTCTGGACTGGAGTTATAGATGATTGCTAGCTATCATGTGGGTGCTAGGATTTTAACCCAGGTCTTCTCCAAGAGCAGCCAGTGCTCTTAACCTCTGAGCCATTGCTCCAGCACCCCCACCCCCAAGCAGTTCTTAAACGGACCATGGGATCCATCTTTAAGCAAATAACAAAAATTTGTTAAAAATGAATATAATATAGACTTAATGTTCTTTTGAATGCAAGAGTCTGTTGGAAGCAGTTTCAAAAGATAAATAGAAATGCCACAAAGGTTTAGAAATAATGCTGGGACTAGAGGGACACCCTGTCTCAAAAAATCAAAATATCAACCAAAAAAAACTATATTGTTATATTTTGGATCTAAAATGTCCCTGCAACGTCTATATATTAAAAGCTTATTTCTAATGCTCAGAATGAGGCCTTTGGGAGGTGATTGGATCATGAGTACCCTAACCCCACCAATGGATTAATTCACTGAAAAAAATTAATCACTTCAAATAGGTTACTGAGAAGCTGATGGAGGAAGAAGGCCTCTAGAGCTATGTTCTTGTTTTTGTTTTTTTTTAAATATTGTATTATTTTTATTTTATGTGTATGAGTGTATTGTCTGCATGTAGGTAAGCGCACCCATGTTGTGCAATGCCTGCGGAGGACAGAAGAGGCCATCGGATTTCCTGGAACTGGAGTTACGGACAGTTGTTATCTGCCATGTTGGTGCTGGGATTCGAACCTGGAGCTTCTGCAAGAACAACCAGTGTTTTTAACCACTGTGCCATCTCTCCAGCCCCCTAGAGTATATTTTTGAAGTATCTATTTTACCATCGACCTCTTTCTCCTCTTTCTTTCCTTCTTGGCTGCAATGGGTTGGGCAGTGTGGCAGTCTTTCCCAAGGGTTCCAGCAAACAATGCTACAAAGCAATGGAGCTAGGCAACCATGCAACGAAACCTCTGAAATTAAGAGCCCAAATAAATCTTTCCTCCTTTAAGGCTGTTTTTCAGGTACTTATCACAGTAATGGAAAGATGACAAACACAAATATGCTAGTCATTCATTTTTAAAAATCTGAGTGTTCATACTGTGTCTAGATGCACATGTGTGCATGTGTGGAGAGGCCAGTAGACAATCTTGAATGTCATTTTCAAGAATACCACCCGCCTCCTTTTTGATAGTCTCTCACTGGCCTGAAACTCACCAATTAGGATAGATTAGCTGGTCATGAGTCCATGGATCCTCTGTTCTGCCTCCCCAAGTGCTGGGATTACAAGCATGTGCCACAATACCTGGCATTTTTGTTTGGATTCTGGGGATCAAACTCAGGTCCTTACACCTGCAAGGCAAGAGCTTTATGGACTGAGTCATTTTCCTAACCCTCTTAATCGCTCTTATGGGTATGAGGTAGAAATAAATCTAAATATGCCATTAGTTATAACACCTTATTTGTAGTTTGTAATTCTCTGTTATCTAATTTTCTCTTGAATTGCCTTCTTTGGATGTGGATGGCTTATTTACTACATTCTTTTCTTTGCTATTTAAGAAATTATACCCTTCTTTGGTGTTTATGTTAGAAATATTTTTATTTCATTTTGTTTTGTTTGTTTCCTGAGGTAAGGTCTCATACTGTAGCCCAGACTGGCCTAAAACTTATGGCAATCCTCCTGCCTTAGTCTCTTGAGTGCTGAGATAACAGGTGTGAGCCACCATATCTGGTTTAGAAAATCTTAACATGAAAATTGAACTTCTTAGAACCTATAAGCAAACATGTAAGGAAATTAAAAACAATGAACTACAAACAAGTATTTGTCTCTAAATATGAGTTAGTATTAAATATTTTGGTTTCTGTTACTTTCTTTTCTTTTCCTTACAAGCTAATTGCTTTGCATTATCAGAATTTAGACTGACCACACACTCACAGTATGCTCATCCTGTCAGTCACATCTCACGCCTTCTTTCTGTATCACCTCCTTAGGCTTTCAGGAAATCCTTTGGGATTTCCTTTAGATCTCTGGTCCCAAATTCTGTTGGTTTTCCAGGTTTTCCCCCAAAATATATTTTTCTCTCATTCTTGGGAGCCAATGCAAACGACTCTACAATTCTAGGCTAAGAATTCCTTCACTTGGGCTGGGGAGAGTGCTTAGTGGATAAAGTGCTTGGTTCTCAAAGATGGGAACCTGAGTTCTGATCCCTAGCATCCATGTAAAAATCAGGCATGATGGCACATGTCTGTAACCCCAGTGCTGGGGGATACAGACAGGCAGATCTCAGGGCCTCCCTAGTCAGCTAGTCTAGCTGAAATGAAGAGCTTCAGGTTTAGAGAAAGAACTTGTCTCAAAAAAGAAGGTAAAGAATGATAGAGGAAGACACCAATGTTAACCTCTGGCCTCCACAACACAAGGACATTCATGAGCACACACACACACACACACACACAGAGGAAAAAAAGGCATGTATACACACAAACACATACACACACAGGCACACAGATGAGAGAGGGGGAGGGAGAGGGGGAGGGAGAGGGAGGAAAAGAGGAGAGACAGAGGAATTCCTTCATTATGTTGATAAGTTCTTGGTTACGGTACCTAGTCCACCATAATGATGAAAACTAAAATCTCTAGTCAGCTGCAACAATTACTTTATAGATCACAGTTGTACATTTTTGTAATGACAAAACAAAGGAAAGTTACAAGAATGCCTTAGCTCTCAACAAGATGGGGATCTTGTGATACCTTGTTGAAAAAATGGAGCATTGACAAATCTCAAAATACTATAAAATGCATCCTGCATACTCACCATGCTGTTTAGATTTCTTTTTCTTTTTCTTCTTCTTCTTCTGCTTTGGTTTGTAGTGATCTTTGTCTCTCTTCTCTTTTCTTTCCTTATCTTTTTCTTTCCTTTTACCTAAAATAAATAAAAGCAAGCCTTTCAATAATCACGAGTGATTCCTAGTTGCTCCTTTGTGGTTACCCTCAAAGCAGCATTTATGTTTGCATCAGCGATTCCAGTCACCTGCCCAGAGTGGACGGATTCAATTAAACTGTTGGTGTCATAAGTCTGGAACTCTTGCTTAGTTTATTGGACTATAAGAGGGGATCTTCATTAGCAGTGTTGAAAAATCCCAACTCCTGACACCTTAAAGTTAACACAGACAGTAGTTAAAAATCTTTAAATAAGTCATAGACTAAAATTCCTACTAGTGCCAAGAAGTTAAATTCCATAATTTAATAAAGACTTCACTGAGGGGAATCAGTAATTGTAGATATAATAAGAAAAGTTTTAGAAAGTTACAAAAATGGACTTTTTTTTCCTTTCGACAAAAAACAGATCAATTAAATCAATCCATAAATTACCCCTTAAGTATTTAAACACTTGCCCTGAGTCTACACAAATGAAGACTAAGATTAAGAAAGCAAAGACTTATTTCATTCTGATTTTTTTTAAATTGAAAGGATTCTTTTCCTAAGTCATAAGCACTTTAAAGAAAATAAATGCATGTTTTAGCAATATCGTAGGACATTACCATCTCAAATTAAAATATGCATATATTCTAGTGGCAATTGTTTCATATCAGAATAGGTTAGTCCACAATTTTCCAAATATAGTAAGTCAGATTTTGGTAACTCCAGGATCCAATTAGCTAAGCTAAGAAATATTTAACACTAGCATCCATTATTTCATGACTTTTAATCATTTATTTGACCGAAGAAAGGACAGTGGAAATGTCAGTAATCTTTTTATAAGGCATACCGAAGAAATGCTTAAAAAAGACTACTTAAATGTATCATTTATTCTCTAAGTTTCAATAATATTAAATGTCTTATTTCAAAAAGTCATCCATAATTTTAATGTGAGATGTTCTGAAAAAAAGTTCTCAGAGAAAGCCAGAGAATTCCTGGATAAGAAAATACACATCTAAGTATAAGCTACACACTGAAGAACAAGTGGGTCTGAAGCTACTTGCTAAGCATGAAAGCGAATGATTTGGGGCACCTTAAGGAGCCCTAGCAAGAAAAGGGAAGACAGAGGCTGTCCTCTCTCTGTCAAGCTTTCTAGTCTTTTGCTTAAAGATTACTTTCTGTCCATACCAAATGCAGTGGAGCTTTTTTCTTCCAATTTCACTTTTTTCTCTGTTTTCGATAATCCTGTGGGTTAGGGGGATAAGATGTAAGTTTAGTTAGAAAGATAAAATATTGCATAGTGTTTTAAATTACAATTGCTCACAAAAATCTAAATCAGACTCTTTTCCCCAAGGTGTACACTATCTTATTACCTGAATGAGTAACTAAAACTTAATTAGGGATGATCTGTGTTTCTTCGGACTACTTGGGTTCAAATCTTGGCCCCACAATTCACTAGTGGTATGAGAGGAGTATGTCATTCAGTGTCTATACTTCTGCTTCCTTATCGTCCTTATGAATATGACTAAGAGGATCTACCACGCTATTATAAAGATTGTATGAGTCAAAGTATGTAAAATGTTTAGACCAGTGCCTAATAAGTATGTTTCTTTCCTTTTTTTTTAATGGTGAGATTATTTGAGACTATACTATTCCAGAAATAGCATAAATTTGGTTCTAACCATATATAAAGGTTATGGTAAAGGTCTTTCGCCATCAGTGAAGGCAGGCAGCAAGCATCTCAGCTTGGGCAATCCAGAAGCAGTTGACACAGCCTTTGGAGTAGTGGGCCCACACATTCCTGCTGCTTTTATGATGAATGCTATTCAGAGCATCCAAATGAAATATTCAACTTTGTATTAAAGTATACTGGTTTTCAACAAGGTATATAACTTTTTAAACTGGTATCTGCCTTCTTGTTGCATAAAACAAATATGTGAATTTCATCAAGACTTTTTATTGGGTAATAAGAGCTCAAACAAAACTATTTTGCTAATTATTTTCGGTCTGCATTAATGTGAAATGCAAAGACACACATACACATAAAAATATGCCATGTTAATGACATGTATTACTGAGTAGTCCAAAGTACATTTGTAAATGCTGCATCTCACTAATGATAACTAAACAGTGCAGATTTCCTTAACTAAGCTTCACAAACATTTCTCACTGCTGAGGTCTTGTTTTGGGGTACAGTTAATCTAGGAAAATTACTTCACATCTACAGTATCAAAACGTTAGCATTTCAGTTTGTTCAAATATTTTATGTAGTTTAAAGAAAAAATTATAAAAATAACACTCAAATCAAGTAGCAACAAGGCTCTAGAAAACTTCAGATTAATAAGACTATTGATAACCACATTGATTGTGACAGAAAGAACTAAAGGGACAGCTGAGCAAAGATAAACACAATAACATTTCTGCATTTATCAAGACTCATTACTTCCTTCTCTTGATTACTGGACCATGGAAACTGAAAACATATGATTTTCTTAAAACTAAGAAACAACTCAAAATATGCTTTTTCAGCCCTTATGGCAGAACAGGTATGCAGAAGGAAAAGTGACAATGATTTTCATCCCCTGTGTGCTTTCTTCTTTGGAGCACTGTTGGGATAACGCAGGGCTGTCTGACTAAGGGAACCATCAAATTGGCTACCTTCAGGCAGTTCAGGTAGGTGGAGCTCAAACACAATGGCAAAAGGCCACAGCTGTAGACTATGGAGGATGGCACATCAGAACAGATAGCAGATAGGCTATTCTGAGTGGTTTTAGGAGAGCAAGCTCCAGGGCCTGCTGGCTCCCTGCTTTCAGATTTCGCAGGTGGTAAAAATTTCAAAAGCTAAATTGGGGACCTGAAAGATGTTGCCAACCTTTTACACAAGGGTATGAAAAGAGATATACAGATATGTGATATTGGCAAGACTTTCAGAAGTACAGACAAATAGAAACAAAAAAACCAAAACAGACCTAGAATTCAACCAAAGAATATAGTTTCCCAAGAAATGACTCTTATTATTTCTTCATGTGCTAGAATTTGCAAACCTAAGTATTTAAGATATTAGTGTACAGGACAGTGAGCTTTAAACTAAATTTATCTGACAGAATATTTTCTTCAAATAAACTATTAGTGCCACTCAAAAAAAGAGCAAAAAGTAAAAAAGTACTCCCAACTCAACTAAGAATAGGAGAACCCTGACTGCTCTTGCTCACATACTTCAGAATCAGGAAAGTAAAGAGTTCTACAACTCCTCCAAGGCACTAACTATCTTGAATTCTTCTGGCTAGACAATCACTGAGACTCATGGAAACCTGAGGTTCCAGAGAAGCCATGAGCACTTGGTATGGAGGTGAGGTAGATTACAGAAAACCAGGTATAGTTTTGTTTTGAACAGGTCTGGAGAATAAATTCAGAAGTAATTTAAATAAAAAGGATGTTAACTAGTAAAGGCACATTGACATCAGATACTAGGAAAGAAAATAACTGCCATTTGAAGGCAGCCACAGTCAGATTGGGTGGAGCCACTGCCATACTAATTCAGACTCCTCAAATCCACCTCTGGTTTTCTTTGGTCATATGTCATGTTAACCAAACAATTTTCAGGGAGTTCAACAAGAAGAGTTCTATCTTAACTGTGACACTCCATAAGTTTATATTTTTATTTATATCTACAGTTCATTTAAAAACGGATTCACGTAATTAACTGAATTCATCTGAAGCTTGAACATTTTATATTAAAAAGGCGTAGTGCTCATATACATATATTTAATATTTGTATCCACATTAAAGTATTCTGAGATAAAATAAATATATCTTGTTATTTGTATTCCAATTTGCTCAAAAATGTGAAAATTAAAATGTTACTGAAATTACATCTTTCAGCATATGATTAATTAAAAATGCTTAGAATTACATTCACACTCTCCCCTAATTTCAATTTTGTCTTCATGGGGGTTATTAAGAATATGTTGTCATTTCTAAATTCAAAGTTAAACCTACCATACCATTATTGTTCTTTGAAATAAATTTAGACTGCATCAAATGCATGATTTTAGAGCTGGAAGTGGCCACAGACATCACCTACTATAAACTTCTCAACATAAAGATAAAAAGTTGAGCTTGAAGGAAGTTGATTTAGGTTTTGCTGAAACTCAGAAGGTACCTACCCTTGCATTGAAACAGTTACTATTATTTGTATGTATATTTCAGTTACTAGCTTTGATTCCCTTCTAGAGGTTCAGTTTTCTGAGGGTAGATTCTGTATCTCAGCACTCTGAGTCCTTTATCTTAAGACAGTATTTAGAGATGGAAGAATAGATACCCTCAGGCCCAGGACATGTAAAGGTTCTTTAGAAAAGGATCCTTTTTAAGAAACACGTATCACTTTGCCTTCCCAGATAACGACAGAACTAATGTTTCTGAAGCTGTATCCCTACCTAAAATTCATTGGCTCTGTTATTTAAAAAAAAAAGATTCTGAAAACAAAGGCATTGATGCTTTTAGAAATATACCATATTTTTTCTTTTCCTTTTATTCTTATTTTCACTTTTTGCTAAAGTGGGCAGCAACAATATTCCTAACCTTAGTCAGTCATGTTGGCATCCATCCCAGTGGAAGAATGTAGATCAATTAGTGCAAGCTCATTATCTCTACTGAAAAAACAATTAAAAGCAAAGTTTAACCTGTTAGGAGACCTAAGTTTACTAAACTTCTTGCCAGTTAACGACTAATATTATGAGTCTGAACTCCCTAGGAGTTTCAGATTTAAAAAACTACAAATACCTGTCCTGGCATATAACGTTTTCTATAGAAGTTTTAAAATATCAACAGAATTTACTTTTATAATTAGGATGAACACCAACCAACCAACCGAATGCATGTACACACACACACACACACACACACACACACACACGCACGCACAAAAGAAATAATAAAATCTTGCCCATTGACTATAGATATAAAACAACATAGATAGCAGACAGAAGTCAAAAAATACTATAAAACAGCATATAAAAGTTAGATAACAGAATATTAGGAAAGCCAGATATGATGATACACAAGTGTAATCTCAGCAATCTGAAGGCTAAATCAAGAAGACTGACAGCTCCAGTCCAGCCTGGGCTACAGATCTTGTTCCAGACTGCCTAGGCTATGTACATAATGAAACTCTGTTCAAAAAAAGAAAACAAATCAATAATAATAATGTATTAAGAGAGAAAAACATGCTGACCACTTGGAAGTTCAATGGAAGTAAGACAAACTGACATGATTTTAAAATAAAAGATGTCCAATTAGAGTATCATCTAAATTCTACTGGTTTCCTCCAAAAAACTAAACTAAAAAAGGTCACAGACAAATTAACATCTCATCTCTTCCTATCCAAACAATCTGTGTACACCTAACTCTGTAACACACTAGCTTTCAGTAGCTAACTTAAAGCTACGTATTTACTTGATATAAGCATTTAAACCTGCCAACCACTGTGCTATTAATACTAAGATCAGTGACCAAGATTCCCACTGTTCTTCAAACAGATCTACAAAGGCAGCACATGAAAATCTGAACCTTTCACTTTCTTCAGAAACTGCCTTATTACATTTAACTCCTGTGGAGAGAAGGCCATGATTGAGACCATGTAAATGGGCCTTGAAATTATCCCCCAAACAGAAAAACTAAGGTTCCTTTTGACAAAATGGTAGAACAGCCAAACCAACTTAGCCATACCCAGGTATCACAGAGCCTCCCTTATCGGCACTTCAAGAATTTCAGGAGAGGAAATCACATGTAGAGTGGCTCATCTTAATTGCCCAAGACTAAACAGCAACCAATCTGGACCGCCCTCATCTATGACAGGAATTACCTGCCAGGAAACTGTAAGCAAAGTGGCTCAACACTAACCTAATGAGGCTTTCTCCAAAATGGAGCGCCCCCTGCCCCCTCATTCTATCCCCAGTCCTTTACTGTTCACAGTGGTTCTATTAGAGGATTCTTCCAAAAATGGAGAACCCCCCATCCCACTCCCAGTCCCTTGCTGTACACAGTTGTTCTATTACTGCCATGTCCACTGTTCTTTTTTTGTGTACCACACAGACCTACTTCTTTCTACTCCCAGCTAAAGGGTGAATTCTGTACTGACCAGCCTACTACATCCTAACTACCACATTTTCCAGTCACTGGCAATATTTAAAGACTGCTGAGGCTTCCCTTTCCCTTCTGCAATTCAACACGGTGAGTATCGAGAACCAATTCCCCAAGACAGTCAGCCACATCTTTACAAATATGCCAGAAATTTTGAGGAGTAAAAAGTTAACCAAAACAAAACAAGAACATACCAAGTTAATCCTCTGGTTAGAAGCAAAATCCTGGGTAAAGGATTTCCATGTACCATCACATCTTTGATGTTTAGAATATATAATCTGGCTGACACAAGATTCTTACTTATGACATGACTTATATTGATCTACATTTCAGTTTTATTATAATTTTTGAATATATTTCAAAGAAAATATAAATATTTCCACATACATATCTATAAATCACTTTCCCAATGGGCATACATCATAAAAATCAACAAAGAATTTCAGATTGTTAAATAAATGCAGGAACACTTCACCAGAAAAACTACCTCAAAAGGTCAATGATAACTCATAAATCTTATGGGAAAATTTGAAAGTAAAATTAGTTACTCTAAGGCCAGGTTTGGAAAAAATATCTAAAAAGACAATGGATCAGATTTGAGAAACAACAATTTTTCAAAGCCTACAAATCTTCAGATGTGTGCATTATTTGTTTTTAAACAAGGAAACATTACCACATATGAAACAATCTCAAACTTTACAGGTAAAATGGAATTGTAGATAACTATGCATTTAATAGCAGTAATATTGCTAATTTGGAAGAAAGAACATGTTAAAGGTAGCATATTAAAATTAAATGTTTCTTAAATTCTGCTTAGCTTTATTTCAATATATATCATGACCAGAGGCTCTATTTTTGCTTCATCTAAGAAGGTGATGAAATGTGCTATGGGGACAATGTTGTTAAACATAATTATTACCAGCATATTTGCTTTATGTTTTTTCCTGAACTGATTGTACTCAAATGTTTTATACTTTATCAATTCAAACTAGTAATACTCGAAAAGCATTTCAAAAGCACTATTTGACTTTTGAAAAGCAAATATATTCTTTTAATGAAATTATCATTTTATAAAATTTCTAAAAAAAGATACAACTATACATGAGAAATATGAATAGCAGATATGAAAGATCAACCACCGAATGTTTTCAGATTACAAATAACAAAATCATCAGAACATGTACTAAACGTGGTTGATTAAAGTCCCTCAAAAACTTTATAACAAATTATATTCAACAAAGGAGATTCTGGTTCCAAATACAGGATTACACTTAAGACACATGTAGTATAGTTAAACTGAATCTAAGTACTTAAATTCAATTGAAGTCTTTAAACCTAAGAATTGATCCCTGAAGTACTGCCTGGCTTCAAAAGAATTTCTATAATAGAAACATATTAAGAATTTCTATAAATAGAAACAATGACTTCATACAATTCATTTATTGTTGTTGTTTTGGGACAGGGTCTTGTCATGTAGCCCTCGCTGGCCTGAAACTTGCCAGTGATCTTCCTGCAGAGAGCCTCCAGAGTGCTGGGACTACTGGCATACACTGACACTTGGCAAAAACAGCATTTAAGAAAGAAGCAAGGGGGTCTGAGGAGATGGCTCAGTGGATAAAGGGCTTGATGCACATGCATCAGGACCAGTGTTCAAATCCAGAATCCATTTAAATGTGGGGCAGGCATGACAGCCACCTGTAATCCTAGTACTCAGGAGGCAGCAGAGGTGGGATCTCTGAGACCAGTTGGCTGGTTAGACCAGCTACAATCTGGAAGCTCCAGGTCAGTGACATTACACATACATAAAAATAAAACATAATTCAAAAAAAAAGAAAATAAATTGACCATAAGTATGTTAAGGATGTGACGAAAATGGTCATACAAAACTTTAAAACAGATAGTCCATCCTCTAAAGAATACTGCCTAAAAGTTTTTTAACAAGTAGTGTTTCTACCCCAAACCAGCAAGCCTCACTATTATAGCACAAGAGTCTTTACCTGTGGCTGCTGGAGCGCCTCTCCTATCAGTCATCACTCTGGAGGAAAGGTTTGGAAGCAACTGTGTCTCCTCTTTTTCTGCTTTGGAATATTCACCGTGGCGAGAGGAGGAGTCTGGGGTTGGTGGTGTTGCAGCTTCTGACCCACGACTTAAATCAAGAGGGACACAGGGCCCGAGCTTCTCAAGCGGCACATGTGCGACAGGAGGCACTACACACACACACACACACACACAAAGCAACGTAATATTAACACAGAGAGCCTGGCCCAGGTCTTATCAATGCAGATCACTGATATATAAGCAGTGCCTGGACAAAAAAGCACTTGGTAAATATTTGTAGAATATAAGAAGTGTTTTTAAGTCCAAAAGACATAAGAAGGAAAACTTAATATTCTACTAATTATCTCAGTATTTATTTTCCTTTACATTGGGTTCTATAGGAAATTAATGTACATTACCCTCTGGTACTGAAGAGTCCTGCTGATTCTGAGAACTGATGGAGAATACTTTCCCATCAGTGGCTGAAGAGGAAGAAAGCTTTTCTACAGAATCATCAGGCATGGGTAAGGTGGCTAACCGCTGAGATCTTCTCCGCTCACTGTGCTTGCAAGGTCTAGGGGGATTCACAGGCTGTGGAGGACCTAGAAAAAGATCTTCAATGTTCACGGAGCAGATACATACCAGGACCATTTTATAATATTTACGGAGACAAATGGGGGGAAAATGACCCATATTCTGCCCTCTGATGCTGCTATAAGATATCCACAAGGAATGGTATGTTCCATTGGTAATCAAAGGGAAAAATTGTGCCCTCTTCACAGAGTTCATCAAAAATTTAATACTTAAAACCTACTAGAACTCAAAGACAATTAACATAGAACATTTAATTTCCAGTAGCTCTCCCCATGTCTGAGACTGGAATTAATTCTCTAAGTGCAGATGGTTGTGTCAATTGCCATTTTGCCCTCAGGAAAGTAGTCTCTTTATAAGCAACGAGGGGGGAGGGGGGCAGAGAAGGGGGGAGGGAAGGAGGGGAGGAAGGAAAAGAGAGAAATAAATCTCTTTTGCTACACCATGACCCTAGGCACTCTAAGGGGAACGGAAGGCAGGGGTACAGGTGGCAGTATTCTAACATACAGGTGCTTTGCTTCACTTGTCAAAGTGAAGCTAATGCAGAGAACTGTGTCCCATTCTCATTCCCTAGATGGATTTTTTTTATACAAATATTTATCTGGGCCTGATTCATTCAAAAAATTGAACACAAACAAACTAAGATGTTTACTATGGTTAAATAAGATTTTAATTACTGACACTGTTTGCTTTCAAAAAACTATCTTATTTATGTGTCTTTTAACAGTATTATTATAAATGTCTGGACAATCCTTTTTCTTTTTCTAACTTTTGAGACGCCTTCATTTTACTTGACATTTGGAGTACACAGTAGGTAAGATTACGCAGCGCAATACATTACTACTAATTTAGAAAAAAAGAAACAAGTAGTTAAAAAGAGCTGAGGCCATGAGTATTTAAGGATAATCTGATAATGACCAAAATGAAAAAGACATGGTGATAATGGGAAAAAAAAACAAGAGTAAATGTGACTTCTATGAAATTGTGGTTATAATACCAAGGCATAAAACACCTTCAAAATAAAATGCTTAACAGTGTCAAGTGACATTCTAGTGCTACTGCTGATATTTCACAATGTAGTTTATGAGAAAACAATTTTTGTTTACTTCGTTTCTGTTCATTTACTTAAAAAGAAAAGAAAAGAAAAAAACCCAAAACTGAGAAATATAGTTTAGTGGACAAAATGACAACTGATTAGAAAACAGATTAGTACATTTGGTAGAGTCTCTCAAACACCAACTGAATGGAAAACAGCCTAGTATATTTGGTAATCTCCCAAATGCCAACTTCTATTCTGAGAGACAAAATATGAATGGCTGATGAGGAAATGTGTCACCCTCATTTCCTGATCATCACATTAATTCATTTGTTGTACAAAGAGCAAAAGACAAGTCATTTGCCGAATGACCTTCCAGGTAACTGCCTGAAATACTAAACTAACAAAGAGAAACTTGTATTTGTTGTTTAGTTTTTTTGGGGGGGATAGGGTCCCCTTGTGGCCAGGTAGCTTGGAACTCACTCTAAAGACCAGGCTGGCCTTGATCTCAAAGTGATCCACCTACCTCTGCCTCTTCAGTGACAGGATCAAAGACATGCAGCATCATGCCTGACATGAACATTTTTTTTAAAGGCTAACACATGAAAGATGAGTACTCTAGCAATAAAATCTTTAAAACTATAATCCAGGGGGTATTCTCCTTTCATTAAGAATGTGACTGAACTCAAGTCTGCATTATTAACATTATAAGAATAATTAAATAAAATGTATTGAAGACAACTACAGATAAAAGGGGAACTAAGTAATATCTATCCATAGGAGGAGCATGAGGAGCTAAGTAAAAATATCACCTATGCATTGTTCTACAGTTCTGTTTCAAGGGGTGTTCTTGTTTGTTTGTTTTTTTGCAATGAATCAGGCCTCTCATTGAGCTTGTATTATTAGCCGAGTATATAGCTGCACTGTAGTAGGAATCTGTGTTCTTCAATGGCAAGGTTTAACTACAGTCTCTGAACAGTAGAACAGAAAGATATGTCTACGATTTTTGCCCTTGAAATAGTTGTAAGCCTTCTCTGTCATATCCACTGAGCTTTGAGTTTATAAAAAGTATCTTCATTAAAAAAAAACAAACATAACTACAACCAAACTGCTTTGAATGTATCTTACAGGGTAAGTAACTATTTCTTAAAAGTCTGTGCTCACTAGTTTTATTTATCACTGAAGAAGAAAGCTGAGGCACAAGCGTCAAATCCTCCGCTTGTGTTAACTCTGGGGCAAGTGGTGATTTAGGGGGTTTTATACACCCAGAAGAAGCTCCAGATTCATGTTTGCATTTCTTGCTGCGAGCCTTCCCTGAAGACAAAGTTGAGGATAACAGTGCAGGTTTCTGAGTGTTGGCAGAACTGCTAATGACAGCTTCATTTTTTTTCTGACTTTGAGGTTTAGGTGAAATCGCCTGAATAAATAATAAAAAATTGATATTTTTATTTTGGTTTCTTCATTTTTTGTTCTTGTATTCTATTTTTGATTGTTAAGCAACTTTAGTATCCAAAAACATTGTTAAGTAACATATAACATTTCTATTACAAATGAAAAACCAAAAAGAACCCCACAGATTATTAACTAAAAGTTGAATAGGCTGTCTTTAAAGGGATACTGTCCACTACTTGTCTACACTTTTAAATATCCATAATGTTCTTCCTATATAAAATACCTTAACAGACATTTTCAGTATTAAATTGAAACTTCTCCCTTGTGAAACCATAATTTTTAATAAAAAAAAAGAATTTTCATGTTTTTAGAGTATTGAAAGAATACATTTAAACCTGTCTACAGAAGATTTCCTGTAATCTACTTCATTAAGTATGTAGAGGTCTAAGTAGACAGCTTCCCTTTAAAGAACGATCTCAACAGGAAAACAATGACCAAATTAACAAAACGTTATCTTTAACTCATTTTAGTGCTGAAAGCTAGAGTTTCATAAGCAAAATGCATCATGAAATCAGAGCCGCCAGCAATAGAGTTAAAAGACTAAGAAACAATACAAAACAAGCAACAGTAACAACGGAAAAAAAACCAAAGAGATAAAGTGTAAGTTAAAACATTGGATTGAAAAACAAAATACGTCGCATTCTCAGATGAGTTTTTACCTTGTTCCTGCCAACTGATACTTTTAAAAAAATTAGAACTTTGTCAGTTCTTTCATAAAGAACAATTTTATTCATTTGGCAGTAAAATTCCCTGCATATATAAAAATATGTGTGAATGTGTCTGCTGTTCAAAGACAACAGAAAATAGCCACACTGAATAAGTTTACAATCTGTTGTACTGGGATGCCTACACTGGATCTCTTACTGATAAAGGTCATCCGAGAACAAAATATGAGATATAGTTTTTAAATCTACACTATGGTAAGTCCCTGTAAAGAATAAAGTTGCTTGTCTTATGAACAACATGCTTGTCCCCAAGAAATCTTTTAACTTTCATATATTTGGTGAGGGCAGATGGTCATGAAATCTGCAGCCTGCAGTTTTCCAGAATATGAGAGATCACTGTATATGGGGCCAAGTAAATAAATACTTCTGTTCCATTAAAATAAAAGGTACTCAAATTTTGGTGGAGAAAAGCATATGCTGGTATTAAATATGGCACCACTGAATGTCCTAGAGATGGCATGCTGGCCATCTGACATAAAGGCCTGGTGTCCAGTGTCCCATTCACTCAGCTCTCATCCTTTCTACTCCTGAATTTCTTCACTATACATGTGTATATGTGGAATTATCCTTTGAAAAAGAACTCCATAAATGTAACATACTCCTAAGCTTATCATAAAAGGTGTTGCCAGAAAAGTAATTAGAGCCATTACTTGTAAATAAACAATTTTATTGTTCATCTTCACATATGTGAAAGACATCACTACAGCATCCATTACTCTTGAGTTACAAAGTTATAAAACAAGATTTTTAAACTTAGATTAATATCTTGATAAGGTGCTTAACTTCTAAACAAGGACAAATTAACATTTAAAATCTTACTGATTATGCATCAAATGCAATTTTATCCAAAAGTAAATAACATGACATTTCCCTAATACAATTAAATAATCTATAATTAATAATCTAATAATGGGGTTCAAAACTGTAGTTTTAATCTTTTAGAAATATAAATAAATCCATTAGCACAGTAAGTTTTGGCTATAGGCCTGTTATCAAGCTATGTCATGACTGACATTGTAACTCATCAGCACAACAGAAGTTAGTGACAATAAAACTTCTCATTTAGGTCTCTTGTTACCAGCTGAGATAGTTAGAACTTTATAACTCGGCTTTTTAACTTAGAAGCAAAGCTAACACATAACATAAAAATCAAGAGAATCAAGAGTTTGGTTACAAAACATTTTCACATAAAATCAGCCTGAATGACAAAAAAAAAAAAAAAAAAAAGGAAAAGAAGGATGTTCCTTAAAATCTTAAAGTAATTTAATTTACAAAGTTTTCATTAATGATTGTTACTGGTCTCTGTTACAAAACTGGCAAGGACTTTCAAAGAATTTTTTAATTATGCAAGTACAAATAGCCGAGTCACTCTATTTCCTTTCTTTTTAAAACTCAGTTTCTCTGAAATGGTTACTGCTCTCTAGACTGACTTCACATGTAATAAATAATTTTCACAATCACATTTACCTCACAAATTATGTGTAATCAAATATTGACATTGTAATGAATTTTCCAGAAACATTTTATTACCCGAGTCCCTGATATATCGCATTCTGAGTATATTATAACAGTTGGGGAAGTACAAAATATTGTTATATCTGGGACATGAATATACACAGTAAAAAAAGGCATTTAAAATTTGGTAGATATACTGACAAGAACGGCAAAGACTTAACCGTTTAATGAGCACAGAAAATCAGAAAGTATGAGTCACTGACATATTGATCAATTTAAAACGACCACTGATTTAATACAACATTAATGGAGGCACCAAACAACGCAGCTTCCAAATCAGGCCTGAAAAAACACTGAAAAACTCAATACAATATCAATTAAATTTGGGCTATCCTTTAAAATGCATATAGAGAGGAGCAAAAAAGATAGTTATTTTAAAATCTTCTTTATTAGGCTACTAATAAAGAAAATTAAAATAATACAAAAAGGATATATTAAAACTACATTAAGGCTCAGATTTTAAAACAGGAGAACCAAGGAAATCCAGTTATGGCTATTACTGTATTCATACAGTGCTTAAGAAGTTAAGCCCTTAGAGAATGTAAAAGCATGCACAGTTCATTATGTACAGGTATTGTGGGAATCCGAAGGTAGCCAAGGCAACATCTAGCAACTGCAACCTTCACTTTAAAATTCCTCTATTAGGTGGTTTAAAGACAGACCCTTAATAGTTTTTAAATTCTCTTTTTTATTGTAGTTATTAAAATATACATCCTAGCAAAAATGTATGGCTCATTGATCAATTCATAAAACACAGTCTAACAACTCCAATTGTTACACTATAAAAGAAACTTCTTATAAAAGAAGCTTAATTTGATATCAAAAAAACCCTGTTTTAACTCACAAATGGAAAGTATTTGTGTAAGGGTCTTTTTGTAAGCTACTTAAAGGTGTCTAGCTAGAAGCTTATACCCTGGGATGCCTGTCTCCAGGCCTTCTAATTTTGGAGACAAAGGCTTTAATACCAGTCTATGGAAAACATACACTAATGAAGTCCATAGTTTATCTGCATACCTGCGAGAAGGCAGAGTTAAAGATCTATCGTCAATCAGTATCCTATTCCCATATCTGATCAGAGGGGCAAATTGCAATTACATGGCTACTACAGCTTCATGATCATTCCAGTGGTAACCTTGAAAATAGTCAAATACTACCATCGCATACCTGCTCCAGCATTGGAGCTGTTGCACTGCAGTCTTCTTTTTTTTCAGCACCATCCACCCCAACAGCTTTGGATGCCAACAAACCTTGAGAAAAATTGTACAGAAATGGCTTATTAGAAAAAAATACCAATATCACAATAATATTTCTCAATTTTAGTAGCTATTTTGAATAATTTTTAAAATATAGTAATAATTTTCAAATGCTTACTTTTCAAAAATACAAACACCCTTAATAATAAGTCAAGAAACTAAACCAAAATTTGAGAGTTGTTTACATAGCTAGGTGGTATTTAAAAAAATATAAGAGCCTTAAATAGCCATACATATTCTAGAAAAATTTTAAATTTTATGACTTTGAGGTCCACATTAAGATGGTTTATATTGTAATACTTATTAAACAAACTAGAATAAATCCTATTGTATTATTAGTTTTAAAGTCTTTCAATTTTAACTTTACTTAGATTCTTTAACCTAAGCTTTATGCATTTACATCTATGCTCACTCTTATTTTCTTGCAAAAATTCCAAAATCACATTATGGTGTCATTTTCTATGAAAAGGGAAGAATGTATTGGTCCTTCTTAGAGCATTTGAACTTACAGCTTCATTCTACACACGATGACAACGTGGAAAGTTCTAGATTTTTCTAACATATATTACAATACTGAATTTTAGAAGACAGAGTAGTTATTTTCACAAAACATGAAAATTTTGTCTTCATAAATTAAAGGTATTTACTGGATAAAATTCTCTGTTCATTCTGTCAGTACTTTCTATGAAATAAGGTTTACAAGGCTTATATAATGACAACAATTTGCTTTTGTTTATGGGCACTTTGTTCACAAAATGCCATGGAAAAATCACATGGCCACACAAAACCTTTGCTTGAAAGGGACTCTGTACACAACTAACAACAGGAAACATACTCTAGCAACTGTACCACTTTTATTACTCAAGCTGCCAGCAGTACTTCACAGAGAAGAAAAGGTACCCTGAAATGCCACAGGACACATACTCACAAGATAATATGACCTGAACATCAAATAACTACCCCAAAGATGTTAAGTTACTAGATAGGAATTCGCATATTCATATAACATTCTGAAGTAGAACTAATGACAGGAGGCACACTGCCTTTACTGGAAAGCTGAATATCTACAGCTCAGCTTCTAACAAATAATGAACAGGCTTAGGGTAAAACAATGATTTTGATACATCAGTGACTGATACTTGGCTTAGTCTGAGAACAGACTGTGTGGTTTCCTCTGTCTCACATTACATAGAGTGTAGATTTAAATGAGAAAGAAAGGCGTATATATTTCATAAAGTTTTTTAACCAAGAAATTCATCTAAATTACATTCTGAATATATTTTATATTGTAAAAAGGACATAGCATGAACTATTTCTTAAAACCACATTCACTAGGTTTTTCTTTTCCAGGTAATAGTCTTGAGAATCAATGAGCTAGTAAAATTATTTTTTAAAATACAGAATCTGCAATTCTACTTTTGTCAGGAAATGAAGAGCTCTATTTCTTAAGGCTATTCAAGTATAACAAGTATTTGCCATTCAATATATCAAATCATTATCCACAAGTATTTGCCATTCAATATATCAAATCATTATATTTTATTTGGTTTCCTGTCATAGAGGGGTAAATATTCATCAATAGATAACAAGAATTACAAGCTAAAAAATGAAAAATAAGGTACCACAGGTTTTAAAAAAAATCATTCATCCATAATCTATTAGGATATTATAGACCCAAATGATTAAAAGCCATTTCTATTTAATTACAGAGAAGGAAAAAAGGCTTTTAATGTGGTCATAGAAAATGAGGTACTTAAGACAAACTACTTAAAACACACACACACACACACACACACACACACACACACACAAACACACACACACACAATACTTAGCATCTAGAAAATTCAAAAGCCCAAAATATGCACAATAAAACTATGTGCTTTATGTTTACACCAGCTTAAAAATGAATTACTTGCCAGGCATACACCTTTAATCCCGGCACTCGGGAGGCAAAGGCAGGTGGATATTTGTGAGTTCAAGGCCAGCCTGGTCTACATAGTGAGTTCCAGGCCAGCTGGGACTACAGGGAGACCCTATCTCAAAAAGAACCCCCCCACCCAAAAATGAATTACTTGACACAAACAGGGACAAATGACAGAACAAGTATTTGAAGAAAGGGCATATAAGAAGACAGTCCAAAACCATTTATCTTCTCCTGCCAAAATTCTAAGAAGAAATGTAATATTGAGAGTAAATGAGAAATAATTCAAATGAAATGGGCCTCAATGAAATGAATATTAATCATTAGCAAAGACTTATTAATATGCCCATATATCATAAACAGGCCCTGCTATAGAAGAACATCCTTAAAGAATGTATGGCACACCCTCAAAGAGATTAAGTGAGATAGAAGCAGAATATCAAAGTCATGAGTCTACCAGCAAAGTCACTTCATAGCAATCTATTTCACTGACAACAAGCAGTACTTTCTCCCTGCCAAGAAAAACAGAGGAGGCCAGAGCTCCCTTGAACACAAAAGGAACACTCAAAGAGCAAAGCAGTTAAAATCTTGGTCAATTTTACAGCTCACTAGTGAATTTAAATCTCTGGATTTTTTTCAATTATTTCAAGAATTCCGTATGCTGCACAAGCATTTCTAAACAGGTAGAACTTCCAGGGATGCCTTATAGTGATCAGAGTAAATCATGTACTAGTTACTATGCTTTATTGTCACCGTGTGGAAAAGTTCTATTTTTAAATCTGCTAAAATTCAATTTGCTTATAACTTGGTACCAAATTATGGATTCTGCATTTATGTGTAAAAATGTCTACCTTAAATCAACATACATATACCATATATTATGGTATACTATTAATAAGGCACAAGAAATGTTAAAAAAAATCATAATCCAGGAGAACACATACACAACTATGTCTCACACACACATGACACATACAGACAGACAGAATCAAACTACATTTTCATTGTTCACCTAGCTAGAAGCTTTGAAAGCACCATCCTTTTACCATTGTCTACAGAGAATCAGATTAAAAGAACTGCAGGACATTTGTATGAGGAAGGGAACCAAAAAAGTGAATAGTTACAGAGTTAAACTTATTCAGTGTCTGGCTCACCAAACTTTAGCTAGAAGTATTTTAAGAAAGTAAAGTGGAGGGTCTGGAGAGATGGCTCAGTGGTTAAAAGCACTGGCTGCTCTTGCAGAGGACCTGGGGTAGAGTCCCAGCATCTACATGGCAGCTAAAAACCATCTGTAGCTCCAGTTCCAGAGAATCTGATGCTCTTCTGACCTCCGTGGGCATTGAACGACACAGGTGCACTTATACACATGCAGGTAATAAACTCATACACATTAAAAAAATAAGATTTTTTTTATAAAGCAAAATGGAATAGAGGAAAGTATATGAGAACAAAGTACCATGATTCTTGCTCCATTCCAGTAAAGGAATAAAAAAAGACATGGAACTTGGTAAATTTAAAGCATGCCACAATCCCAACATAAAATGCTACTTTATATTAGTTCTCATTGGTTTTCAAGGACCATAGCTAATATTTATTGTGTAGATGCAAGCCCAGGGTTCACCTACTCAAAAGAATCTTATATCTTTGTCTTTTTGTAACATGAAAAAATAGATGCAGAGACAAACTACTATAAGGATTATAATACACAATTGAGTAAATAAGGGGAGAAGACTTATTGGCTTCACACTGGTAAAATCTTAAGTGTTGTTCTTGCTGCTAATTCATAACATTTGAGATTCCCAGGGAAAACTGAAGAGAAAGTTCCTTCACAGAAAGCAAGGGGTGTTACTATGCAACTATAAATACAACATGAGACACAAGGTCACTGGCTCTTTTATCCCCACTACTGTCTCTCCAAAGCCACATAGAATTGATGCATCCCTGTGGCCTCAGCTGAATTCTTAGTCTTTTATATCTTTAAATGTTGAGCTTGACCCAGCAAGGCACGTAGGAGTAGTACATATGTGGGAGCAGGTTATGCGGCTGAGGAAGGAAAACCCATGATGCTAGCACGCTGGTAGTTAGCTGTATCAGTCAATGTCATTTCCGTCATCCTTGATCTTGAATCCTCCAACAGTGCAGCTTCATCTTTGTACGACAGAAGTAAAGAGCAGCATTCCACTCTGCCCTGCACAGAGCACCGGGTTCTATATTTTAAGCCATAACCAAAGTCTCAAGTTGCCAGCAGAGCAATCAAAGAAGATTCTGGCTTTCTCCAAGGCTAACAGTTTCTAATGAAAAGGTTTAATGGGTGAAGTGTTATGAATTATGTCCCATCCCAAGGGCAAATATATCCTTTATCAGAGAAAGGCCTGAAAATAATATTAACAGATGGAACAAAACTGGATCTCCTGACCTGTTGAAAGAAATTCTAATCACTTAGATGAACCCTATCATAAAATAGTGGTTCTAAAGAATTCTTGGCTCCCAAGTCATATTTCAGTAGGTTTTCTCTCCAGAAAATAACCAAAACATGTAATTTATGTTTATTCCTAGATTTAACAAAGAAACCAATATTCAAAGTATTTAAATGAATGCCAACAAAAGTTTGTTCAGTTTTATTAGATGAAAGGTTCTTAAAACATTTTGTTCTTAAAAAACATAATTGAATCATTAAAATATTTAAATGTCCATTTAAAACATACTTTAAAAAGAAATATAATGTCTTTTAAATACTAAAACATTAGGCTGAGCAGGGCCTGGAAGAGGCAGAGCATGGCATGCCTGGCCCCAGGTCTAACATTTCAGTTCCTCTTCTCTGAGCACTCACTTGGCTAGTTAGGATTGCCTATATTCTTGATTATTCTAGCACTGCTATATGCTACATTACAAGACGTACATGAGAATAAGCCTCGATTCTAGACACTGACCTGAAGATAAGACCAGCAAAAATAAGAAAAACCTTCAGAGAGGTACTTTAACATCAGAAATTTTGAAAGTATTCCAGGAATTGAATTTAATTCAGGTATCTATCTTTTTGTCACACATAGTTTGATTCCTATGTAAGCCTGGCCAATTCTAAGAATGTTTATATATAAAAATATTTAAACCATAGGAATAAAGTTACCATAGGTTGATAAAAGCAGATAACCCTTCTGAAAGAAATTATTTTTCCCACCTAGGTGAGTTTAAAACTATAAATTTGTAGTACCTGAGCTCATCAATCCTCACAACAACCCTGTGAGGTAGGTAGAAAATGTGGGGTAGGTTGAAATTTTTCACATTTTACAAGACACAAAACAGTGTTGAGAAACATTTACTTCGAAGAACCAGAAAGCAATCTGCTCATTATACTGAACTAACAGACATTTCCTTTATTGAAAAGAAAGTACTGAAGCCCCTTAATCCCCCAAAGAGAATCATTGTAGTTTACCAGTAATCTTGTTAAGTCGCGCTCTCTTTGCCTGAAATGAGTTTCCTTGATTATTTTTCCTCTTGTTTGTTAATGAGCTCTCTGGCTGTGGAAAGACCATCTTTTGCACGCTGTCTATGTGAAGTCCTACTTTTAACAGAACACATATATGAGAATTTGTCTGGAATCCAAAATTAAGACACATAATTAATAGAAAATTAGTAAAAGTACTCTGCACATTTTTTAATCTGGTGCATTTAAAATTTTTGGAAAATTAGAACTTTAAAAAACACAGTCCCTTCAGATTGACACAAGTTCTAAAAGAAAAGCAGGAAGAGAATGATGACTTCTTCCACCACATAGCATACTGAAATAAAGACACAGCCCTTAGAAACTTAAGGAAATAAAACATAAAACTAAAATTGCAAGCAGAAACCTAGTAACAAATATCAATTCATTTTTATTCAAGAGTATCGACAGCATTTAATAGCAAGTACTGACATTACATCTTTAATCTTCTGAGTTACACATAAGATGATAAGAAGTCAGTCATCCTATAATACTAGGGGAAGATAATTCAATTATTAGTTCAAAATTATGGGTAATCAAGGGCTTTTATTTATTTGCTACCTCAGTTTACTTTTGTCACAAGGAAGGAAAATAAGAACGTATTTTGTACCAAATGGTTCACTAGATGCAGGTGCATCTTCCCTCTTCTCAGCTTCTGGTGTGGCCATACACGTTGAGGTCTCTTCCTTCTTTGATGGTACTTTAAACCACTTTCTCTCTTCCTTCTCCTTCTCTTTGTTGCTGTTAGCACTGCTCCGAGGTTTAGTCCCTGTTTTACTCTTGGCTGCAGCCGCAGCAGCTGCTTTGACTAAAGCAATCCAGTCCTCCAAAGGAAAAGCATAACATGTGGAGTATTAAAAAAAGAAAAAAGTCAATCAAACTGGAGGTATGCTAATGAATAAAATATATGTACCACATCTTCAAAGCTACTTTCACATGTACACATGGAATAACTAAGTTACCTACATTTACAAAGTAGATTATTTTACAGAGCACAATATATTTTCAAGCTTAATAACCTAATGACTAATAGGACTGAAAACCCATCTATAAAATGGGAAAATATTCAATAACAAATAGTCCTTCCATATATAATGAAATCCCCAACAACTTTAAGCCTACAGAAAATCTAGACTACTACATGGCATGCTATTTCAGTATTTGGGGGCTAAAAGATGCATTACTGCAATTCTGTGAATACTGAAAGAAATGTATGTTTGCAAAACAAATTACTATTTCTCATTAAGTACATATCATTCAATTCATAGTTCATTTCTTAGAAACAAAAGCATGATTTTATTAGTTTTCGAAACTTTTGAAGTTTAGGATCAATTTATCGCACCACCAAAGGAAAAAAAGAGCTAAGAAGCTTGACTAAACTAAAAGAAAGCACGAACTGCAATCTTGTGACTCATTCTCTCCCCCCACTTCCTTCTGGATAGGGGTTATCATTCTTTTGAGGCACAAATATTAATCTTCCCCTTGTTAATTTTGTTGTTTGCTAGATATTATTTTTTACATTTATGTACTATATATGTGTATGATGTATGGGGCATATATATGCCACAGTACACGAGATGGTCAGAGGACAATTTGTGGGGGTCAGTTCTCTCGTTCCATCTGGGAATCAAACTCAGGTCATCAGACTCGGCAGCAAGCACATTTATCTGCTGAGCCATCTCCCAGACCTAAATGAATCATCATATTTCATCTTTAATTCAAAATTCTTTATTATAAAAGTACAGCGCACTACCAAGAAGGCTAATGTGGTGCTAACAGTTAATTTTCACAAGAAAATCTGTTTTAAACAAGTATTTCTTGGGCTGGAGAGATGGCTCTGCAGTTAAGAGCACTGGCTGTTTTTGTAGAAGACCCGGGTTCAAATCCCAGCACCCACACAGGGGCTAACAACCATCCGTAACTCCAGTTCCAGGGGATCTGACGTCCTCTCTGTCTTCCATAGGCACTGCATAACATGGGTGACTTAAACAAGAAGCAGACATAACACTCATACACATAAACTAAAAAAAAATTAAAACTAAAAAAAAAAAACAAACAAAAATACCCAAGTATTTCTAATGGCTCTACAGAGTTAATTTTCCACTGATGCCTCTGAGTACTGTCTAAATGGCCAATAAGATTCATTGAACATGCATATTATCTGTTCTAAGCAACTGTAAACATTAATTTAATGGGTTACATGCATAAATATGAGCATTAGTTAAAAACTTTAAACAAAAAATAACAGGCGATGACTGGTCACCCGTGAAAATACATGGTGAAGAGGTGCAGGCCACTGAGGACAAACAGCAAACCTATCTACAGACTCCTCTCCTCCATCACTGAAAGGAACTACAAATGTGCAATTGCACCTTACATGCCAGTTTTTTTTTGTTGTTGTTTGTTTTGTGTGTGTATTTTGTCAATTTTCTACTGAATATCTCACTACATATGCCAGGTATCAAGGTAACATCTAAGAGACAACATATGATAAAAGAGATTGGGCTGGATCTCAAGCAATTTACAAGGAAATAAAAATAACCGTAAGAGAGTATGACTGTGGAGGTGGGGCGCAGGAGGATCAGAAGTTCAAGGTTATCCTCAGCCACACACATCCACAGAGAGGTCATTAGACTATCTCAAAAGGGGGGGGGGTGTGTGACAAGACACATGAGAGGAATAAACAAAATACTATGAGACATAAGACTAGTTTTGACTTAAGAGAAAAATTAGTGGGAGACTTCAGAGATAAGGGTTCAAGAAATGATCCCTAAAGTAGAGATTGGCTATAAAAATGGACAGCTACAAAGGGAAAATAGGTCTTCCAAATAACAGGAAAACTATTAACAAAGGCACAGAAGCCATGTGCAGGAACAGAACTTAGAGCTGGGGGTTTCCAGTGAAAAGAGGTAGCAGCTACTCTGGTTAACGCTGAGCCTTGAGACTGACACTGAAGTAGTGATGAAAGACAGTGAATGGGGAAGTCAAGAAGGAGCAACTGACAAAGTAGAAAAAGAAGAAAAAATACAACCATAACAGCAGTGCTCTATGCAGCAGAGAACATGTTTAGAAACTTATTGAAAGAAGAAAATTTGACTCCAGGTTCCATATTGTGGAATTTTCAGTTATCAGAGCAATGGAAGATACCGTTGGGAAAAACTTCCACTCTAAGCTATTTTATACTGCCAATAAAGACACAACAGATGAATGAGAAACACTGCAGTTTTCAAAAGTAATTTAAAAAATGCTTTTGATCATAACGAACGTTACAGTCATGTGATTATAGAATTACCTCCATTATTCTTCCCTTTAATTTTGACATAGAAAAGATTCACTGTCAAAAATAACTAATAGTGCTTTTCCATGAATCAAAACAAATACTGACATATATTACAAAAGCTCTGTAGCTAGCACTATAGAGAAGTGCATTGAAAAGAACACTGGGTTTGTAACCATAAGGTCAGAGTTAGGGAGTCAGTCACTCTATACGTAAGGATTGAGTGAAATTTTAAAATAGTCATTCAACTCCCTAAGTTCTGAATCCCTTAACTATGAGATAAAAATATCAATCATGAATATATGAAAAGAACTGCTATGGCCAACAAAACAATATATGCAAACACTGAAAATAGCAAGACACTTATAATCCATCCATTTTGAATGTTTTGGTGTAAATTTTACATCAGCACACTTTCAAGAAGAAAGGAGGGAAGTGAGTCTACTGCTGTAGGACTCCAAATTTAAAATAAATGCCTCAATCTCTCATCATGCAAGTATTGTTGTTATGTTTTACCAGGGTAGAAGATCAGTTCTAACAGCAACAGTAAGATACCTCACTAAATGTGAGAATCCACCTTTATCCTGTAAAATGTTAGCTTCACAGCTATTTATGAATCAACACTACCATTCTACTCAAAGTTATGTAAAAGAAGAAAAAAAGAAGGCAGGGCTTAGGCAAGGGATCTTTGGACAGTCAACATCTACCAATACAAGAATGCCAACAGCTTATACTTCAACTGAAGTACTTTTAAAGCTCTTTTAGCATGCAAGCTAACTTTTAAATGTACGCAGAAGTTGAATAGTACTAATCAACTGTCTCAAAGTCAGAAATAAAAACATTAAAACTTTGGTTTAAGCATAAAGAAATTAACCTGACATGCACATATGTAAGACTATTTATTATTAATATCCCATTTTATATAGCTCTACAGAAAGTTTAGGGGAGAACATAACTATGGTGCATTTCTTTGATGCATTATTCTTTGATAATTTAGTTTAACATATTTTACTTCATAAAATAATTCCCAAAGTATTAACAATCTAGAAAAAATTTATAAGATAGCATTATCTTAGCCCCGCCTTATCACCTGATTTATCACATTTCCTAGACAAAAATAAATAAAAACTTGTTGGGGGACTCATAAAGTAACAATTTATTTTAAAAAAATCAACTTTCTCAATATTTTAATCTGCATAGAATTAAGACTTTTAAGAAAAATGAAAGATTAGCAGAAAACACTGCATTCAAATTTTTTCAATAGTTTTATATTATATCATTGGCTTAAATTTAATGTACATCATGGTGTACCTAAAATACTGACATAAAAGAGCATCCAAAACACCGAATGAATTTAATTTCTATAGTCTGTAAATTAAACCACAAGCCAAACTGGCTCAATGCGCCACTTTGAAAAAAAAGTTCAAAGCAAAATAATAGTGACATTTCATGATATCTGAATAACTACAGTTATAAAATCACAGCATAAAGGCAAAAACAGAAATCGTTTAAATAGTTATATACTGACTTATGCCCCAAAATTTTATTCATGCTTTCTATTTAGTAACCAAGAAAGTACACCACTGGATGCTTAAAAAATACTTTATTTACATAAACACATAAGACAAATTTGTTGATCAAAAGCATTTTCATTTTAAATTGCATTTACATATTAGTAAGCATGGAACTAGGCTAGTTGATCATTTCATAACCAATCAAACTTTTCAGAATATGTAGAAATAATTATTACAAATGTAGTATAACACATTTGCAGACTATAAGCTGATGCACATGCCTAATTGAAGAAGCCAACCAGGTGATTTTAACACAATTCAGGATGACACTTTTTGCTACACAGTATGGAAAAAATATGGAACATATTTCTACATTAAACAGTTTTATAGATTACTTTCAAGTTCTTAAATTAATTGTAGGTCCAGGTGCTGAAAATCCCAAATAACAGCAGAACATAAAAGAAAATACTTTGTTTCTAATGGCACCTTTCTTTCCAGTACTTCAGGAAGCTTAATCATCAAATGAGGTTTTTTTAAACTGCATCCCAGACTCTCTTTCAAATGCTTACCATTCATTCTTGCTTTGAGCCATGAGAAAGCAAAGAATACACTGCTTCCATCCTATGACTCAGAGAGCCCTGCCTGAAACAGCCTACAGAGTGTCAGGTAAGCGCCTTTTAAAGAAGATGAATAGCTATGGTTTGTAGAAGGAAAGAAGAAGATAAGAAACTCAATGTAAAAATTTCATATTGAAAATGGAATTTCTAAATAAGACTCTATACCAGATAAAAGAAAACAAAATTTAAAAGTAAAAAGGCACTTACCTCACTTCCCATAGACTGGTTACACGATCCAGCTGGGTCGATAGGACAACACCAGCTTAGTGGATGCTGGGATTTCACCTGGAACAGAAACTCGTGACCTATAACTTTAGCAGGTCTAAAACCAATGAGGCAAAAATCAAGTGTATAATTTATTTTACATTCTAAACTTTTTTCTCTTGCTGCTATTTGGGGCTATCAGCACATAACCCTACAATTAGTTCAATTAATAAAATATAAACACATAGATGTTGATCAGACACCATTCAAGAAGAGAACCCTTTAAGTAGCTAGGAATGTTGAACACTCTTACCTGCCCCTTAGCATCCTCAGGCATGGCTTTAATGTGCATTCTTTTTAAACAACGGATTACGCCATCATAAAACTGAACTGTGAATGTGCCTGAAATAGGAGCAGTCAGAATAATTAGAAAGTATCATACGACTCTGTGGAGGAACCTGGAAGCTAACAGGTGGTGGCCTGGTGTGTACAAATGCTCTATGGTTACAATAACACAAGCATACATCCTTTTCAAGGACTCTGCTGAATTTTTTAAGGACATTTTCTCTCAGTCTTAAAAAACAACTCTGAACTAATTTTACCCTTAAAACATGTACAAATTACATTTTAGTTCCATTAACTTTTGTTTTTGCTGAAGAACTTTAAATTTTATTTTGTAAAAATATATGAGACTTATCTCATAAAAATAAAATCATGCCAACTGGTGAGGCACAACTTTAATCCCAGCACTAGGGAAGCAGAGGCAGATGGATCTCTGTGAGATGGAGCCCAGCATGGTCTACATAGCGAGTTCCAGGCCACCTGAGACTACAGGGAGACCTTGTCTCAAAAAAAACTGAAAAACTAAAACCACTATTTACAAAAACATAGTACTGCTACAGGAATGATCACTGGGTGAGTCTCTGGAAAATGTTCTTTTAAAATAAGTAATGGAGACAAAGATCTGACATGTGAAAAACATTAATTTTCCCAAAAGGATTACTTCTGATAGTTCTGAACTGGCACACAAGACTTACAGATTCCAGAGCAAGTTTAAGCTAGAAAATCATTTCCAAACCACCACAATGAAAGTCTTCTACAGATGGACACAACCAGCTCTAGAGGAGCCAAGGATGCCCTCAGCTCTGCAGCACAACTGTCTCTCCTGAGCTGTCTTCTGCAGCTAGTTGTGCCCTTCCTAACAACTCATCCTGCTTTCGGGACTCCAGATTTCCTTCAGGCTTCTATCTGCTTGTAAACCCTGAAGCACAGCCACTTTTTGTGGTAGACCTCATGTTAGCAAGTTAGTGCCAGACAGGGCTACTAGAAAACACCAAGTGGGCTTTACACTATGGAAAGAGTGTCACTTTAAGTGAACAGATACCTGGTGGTGAGAAAAGAAGCACAGACAGGAAGTGCCATCGTTATCAATAGCTGTGAAGCCGACACCAGCCAATGGCATATATCTAAAACTATTTTTCATTTTTGTAACATGAATGACATAATTTGATTTAGTATTTTTCTACACTTAGCATAATGCTAAATATCAAAAATGTCTAAACTTAAGCTAGGAAAACAAATGACAGGTAAACAGCAAGAATGTGAAGACAAGGGCTGGAGAAATGGCTCAGAAGTTAATAGCACTGGTTGCTCTTGTAGAGGACACAGGTTTGATTCCCAGCACCCACATGGCAGCTAACAATCCCTGATGCCCTCTTCTGACCTCCATGGGCATTGCACGACATGGGTACACTTCCATACATGCAGGTAACACACTCTTATACATAAAATAAAAATAATAAATAAAATGTATTAAAAAAAGAATGTGAAGACCATTTAACTTTCTGAGAATGCCAAACTGTATGCACAGTGTGTGCTACCATCATTCCTGCAACTGCCTGTTTCTTCCTCCACATGGCACTCCATAGAAACCTATGCTGCTGAGCCACTGGCAGAGCCTTAGTCCCTCCAGCCCTTGTTCATGTGGTTTCCTCCCCTATGATGCTTTCTCCCTTCCTTTAACTGTACTAAGTCTAACCACTCTTCAGTGACCATTGTCAAGCTATTCCCTGATTACTCTAGTCCACACATCCTATACCCCTTTCTATACTTTTTTTTTTCTTTGAAAATTTTACAAAGGGATACAATGTATCTGTATCTTGATCATATCCGAATTCTATTCCCTCCCTCCAACTGCTCTCTTGACTGGATTTGAGGCCCTTTTTACAGGTTCATGCCTGGTACTATTAATATTACCAAATCCTTGGCTAGAGAAGCCATAGGCCAAAGAGGGGAACCCATTAATGATGCTGTTTTGCTAAAAAATCAAATCATCAAATGGCCTTCTAAATATTTATGCTTATATCCATAGATTTTTGTGTTGCTCTTTCTTCACTTCTATAAGCTGTGTGACAAACACCTAAAAGTGCAAACTGGTTAGGCTCCAGACTGGACACTGAAGGGCTTTGGGTCCAAGACTTGGATGAATGAGCTGCAGAACATAGCTCAACAAGGGCCCAAAAAGAAAAGGAGAAATAAAGGCCGGGCTCTCACCTCTGCTTGCAGTAGGTAACCACTAGAAATAAAGCCATTATCTTTCCTGTGGTTCCAACCCAGTTCAACAATTAAACGATATTAAGAGCTTTGTAAAATGGCACAAATGTCTTCTATTTATCTCAAGCTTAGTTTTATTTTTTTAATATATTTTATTAATTTTATGTGTATGAGTGTGTTGCCTGCATGTGTGTTAAGTGTACCCATGTCATGCAATGCCTGCAGAAGTCAGAAAAGGACATCCTTTGAAGCCCCTGGACCTGGAGTTACTGATGGTTATCAGCCATCATATAGGTGCTGGGAACCAAACCCAGGTGCTCTGCAAGAACAGTCAGTGCTCTTAACCTCTGAGCCAGCTCTCCAGCCCCTCAAACTTGTTTTTAAATCCCAAGTTTAAAGTTTTTCTATGGCTCTCATCATTTCCAAATAGAATTTAAATCATTTGGCAAGATTCTGGAAACTCCTCATGTTGATCCTTGCCATCTTTCTCTTTTCCCACTTTCCACACGAAACAAAGTCCTTGTATCCTGTCTTTACCTAACTTATGGGTCTTTCGGGACTCTATTTAAAGAAGTATCCCCTCCACAGATCAGAGGTCCTTGCAAAGAAGTTGTCATTCAATTTTGTGCTAGTTTCTTTGAAAAAACATTAACTATTAATAATCAGTAAATTTATCAATTTAACAATACTTATTGGTCAGGTTTAAGAAAGAATTATGATTGAAAAGAAATACATAAATAATTTGAAAAATATACTTTCAACTATTTCACAAGTGTTCTAAACAGATTCTTAAATGAGAAGCTTGAAAACCAGGTTAAGTATATTTTCTACAAGTGTCAATTCCTATGCCTTTCCAAATTAATTAGTAAATTATTTCTTCTAAGTTTATTATCTGTCTGAAAGATTTCCCAGACTCCTATCACACTGACACACCCAATTTCTGTGCTATTTTCAGTTTCTGATCACTTCAATAAGACTTGGTCAGTGCTGAATATTCTAACGAATGTCTACAAAAGGTTATTAGGAAAATTAACCAATTACCCACAGATATCATGGAATGGTAGAAGAAACATATAATAAAGAATACCCCTTCCACAAATCACATAGTTCTTTCCTCCCGAGCTGAGCTGATTTGAATCACCTTTTATCTTTAACCTTCCCTAACACTGGCTGAAACACTCATAAATATAATTTTGTCACAAAAACTGGAACTAGAAAAGCAGAAATAAGATGCATATATGCCTGTAACTCAAAGTTGAAAATGTTTAAGCAGCTATTTACTTCTATTAACTAGACCAGTTCATTCAAGTCATTAAGTCATGTGTCAGGTCACTCTATACAATATGTAACAAACATTCCCATAAAGAATATGAGCAAGAAATGCACTCAGTAGAACATAAAATAAGAAAACTTATATGCAACAGTTAAATACATTAACTGAAATTTAAAACTCTGACATTTTACTACAGGCCCCATTCTATGTCTCCAATCATTTCAGGTGCATACCTTCTTTGTTAATTGCTTCAATCTTGGCAGGGTAATAGCGACAGTCGGTCCAACGAGCCAGAACTTCTTCTCCAGCTTTAAAATCCTATTCAAACAACTTTTTAGATCAATTCCATATATAATAAACATGTCCTTAACAAAAACAGGCTTCTGTCAAATTTAACACAATCCTTTAAAAATGTCATTCTATGTCTAGAAAAGTAACAAGGAAAAGCTTACTACTTACAAAGAAATCTTCCTCATCTTTTAGCCCTTCTTTTCTTAGTGCAGGTCTCTCAAGGGGTCGTAATCTGTTGCTGTCCCAATAAATCCACTCATCATATCGATGACTCCAGCGCTCAAAATGAACTAACATCTTGCCTTCTTCATAGTCAATTTTTTCAATTCGTGATGGATACCTATAAAATAAAAAAGCCCCATATCAAGAATAACTCATATCTGTATACAGAAAATCACAAATAGAAAGACTTTATTAACTATTACTTACAACTAAAACTATGAGAAAAATAGTAAGTATATCCTATTTTTAAACTACTAAACTCACAAAACCTACACAATCATTATTATCATTTTTAAATTATTGCTCACAGGAGCTGAGATAATGAACACTTTAATACACGCCCCATGGAAGTACAAAGTGCTGTGCTCTTTTAGAAACCAATGTGTTTAAATGCATCAAGAGCCTTAAACATATTCCTATTCTTTGGAAACAGTAGTTCGATTCTTCAAAGTATGATTCATAATAAGAAAATAGAACCCTATTTAAATATGGTTGGAAAAGCTGAATACTTTTTATACTTACACAAACAATGGCATCTCTGAATGGGGTATATTGATCTTCAAGTGTCAAACACTATATTTAAAATTATAAATATGTAAGTTTAGAAATTATGCCAACATATGTACATCTGTTTCTTGTTGTATGTGTGCATGCTTATGTATATGGATGGGCGTTTGTGTATGTGAATACACATGTACATACATACACAAGTGGAAGTCAAAGGATAATGTCAGCTATCATTCCTCACATGCCATCTACTTTGTTTTCCTGGCCTGAAGCTCACCAAGTTAGCTACGCTGGCTGACCAGCGGGTCCCAGGGATCTGCCTGCCTCCACCTTCCTAGTGCTGCAATCATAAGCAGCCCCCACACTTCCAGTCGTTTCACAAGAGTTCTGGGAATGGAACTCAGGTCCTCGTACTTACAGCTGAGCCATCTCCCAGTCTATACCTCTGTATGGTATGAGCATACATTTTATTTTTCTATATTCTGCACTATTCTAAAATAAGCATCAATGATGGCAAGGAAAAACCCAGCAAGATTTTTAAATTTAAAAATATAAAAATATCTGATTGTTCCACCTTCATGTGTAACAATTCTTCTATGATTAATTTCAAAACAGAAAACTAGTTCACCTTTTATAGGGAATGGTATTCCTAATGTACTACATTAAAGTGTTCACAGAGGACTCCATTTAAAAAATATGAATAGCATTAAGAACTCAATAGCAAATAGTTTATCTCGTATTTTTCTGTTTTTTGTTAAATTCGGAATCTTTGTTTTCTATGAAAAACTGTCTTTAAACATAAAGTCACTATAACTTTGAAGTCACCACCGATTTTAGCAATCAGTGAATTGCACATGTCAATGGCCTAAATCTTCCTGACATTTCTTAGTTCTTGGCTAAGTCCATCTTTGTAGCAGGATACTGACCTGTTCATATCACCCCAAACACATCATGGTCCAACAAGCCACAAGCTTTTGTCCTTTCTCTCCTTTCTCCTAGCCTTACGCTGCACTTCCTGTCCTTTGTATCCTCACAGCTCGGGCTTTGTTCAACATGTACCTGCTCATCCTGTGCAGACTTCTTGCCTCTGCATTCTGCTGCTCTTACAGCATTTCTCATGTTAATAGTCTCTCTATACAGGTTCCCAAACTGGGTGCTGAGAGCAGTCATAACAGCAGAGGCACTGGTATGTGCCATAGGAAGGTCCCAATGCCAAATACTCTAGGGAAATACTGGATTAAAAAATTAAACTGTTTATTAAAGACTTACTGGTGCTTTCAGGAGGTAAAGCACCTGACTTTACCAAACTTAAGAGAAATGTCCATCACAAAATGTTTATATAACACTGCTAGAGACAAAACACAGCTAAGGAACATGAATCTGGAATGCCACTGTAGCCTGTGAGCACTGGAGGTAACAGGCCTGAGCAGAGTGCCCTGCAGCTGAGACAACGACAGAAGACAGAAAAGCCACTGGAGCAGTGTTCAACAAAAATACCAAGTGATATGATGGAAGACAATCTTCATGTATCCTGAGAACTAGGACAGCTACTGACTCCCTATAACCTTATGTCTTATAGTCTTTGGGAAGAAGTGGGTGTAAATAACTCTGCTACAGAAAAGCATCATGCTGCAAAAATCTAGGAGCTTAACATTTCCTGGGTAGACATGCCTACACAGCCCATTTAGAATCAAAAACTACAATCATCTTTTGCAGTATTTCTCTTGCTGTTCTCGATTTCTTTTAGATAAAAAATTGTCAGCAGCATAAAGGGAAATTGACAAGGATGCCCTATACTTTCAACATCTACTACCCACTGATGTACTATGAAGATAATTTTCTAGTGATTATAAAAACTGATAAATTTCCTTAAATACCTAAGAACTCCCAATTTCACTTAATTTATCATTTAAGTTTGGAGCAAAAAACAAGTTTACTCTCTAGGTTCCTTCAAAATCTAAATGTGTGCAATTCTACATATTTAAAACATTTTCAAAGTGAGAATAGTCCACAGTCACAGTTAAATACATCTCTAATTTCATAACATGATTTAATTGCATAAAGAATCAAAATCTAAATGAGTTTAAATAATGTAAATCTAGATTGATTTTTTTTTTTTTTTTTTGGTCTTTTTTTGAGACAGGGTCTCCCAGTAGCCCCGGCTGGCCTGAAACTCACTAGTAGACCAAGCTGGCCTTGAACTCACAGAGATCCACCTGCCTCTGCCTCCTGAGTGCTGGGATTAAAGGCATGTGCCACCATGCCCGGCCTAGACTGTTATTTTAAAGCAACTTATGGTTTTCCTAAAATATTTCAAATTCTGTTCACTGAAAGGATGCCTGTAGCAACAGTCACATCAAAAATTACATCTTGGGGAAACTGTTCAGGGCTATAGTTTCTACATAAATGCTTAAGAATGATATGAATATATACCTAGGCCACAGCAAAGGATTAAATAAATAATGCAAATCTATTTTTACTAATCAAATATTGAAGGTTAAGGTGTCAGAATTATCATTATCAAGAATGTCCAATTTTTTTGTTCATCCATTAGGCATATATTTAAGTATCTAATAAGACAAAAGGAGGGTTGAAGGTTTAGCTCACTGGTAGAAGGCTTCCTTGCCTAGCAAGCACATGACTCTTGGGATTTCAAGAGAAGCCCCGTTGGTAGATTAAAAAAAGAAACGTAATTAAATTCTTTCATCATTGAGTTTAGCTTTGAGCTGGATTAGAAGACATACTGTCCTGTGTATCATACTATCTTCTTTGCTTACTGTTTATTGTTCTTTATACACATATCTTGGTTTCTGTCCAAGGCATAGCTAGCATAGTATCCTTTAACAGAATACAAAACATAATTTCAAAGCAAAGACTAACTGGCACAGAAGCCTCTGTTCTATACCAATAGGAGGAATGGAGTAAGACCTACATCCAAGTGGTAACAGAGATAGGAAAACTGTTAAGTGTACACAAAAATTTATTTCACATGCTTCAGTATTTTCAAGAGCATCAAGGAGTCCACTAAAGGTTCTTAGGAGACATCCATATTGGACTTGATGGAGAATTTAAGGATTTACACTGAAGCAGAATTCAAATGTAATGTAAACACAGAACATAATTCATTCAATGTTCAATTACTTAAAAATATCATTTGACTTGCCGGGAATGGTGTCTCAAAAAGACCAAAAAAAACCCCCAACCCGCCCCCCCCGCCCCCAAATAAAACCATCATTTGACTCTAGGTGAGAACACAGCCACTTAGGATGTAGAGCCAAGTAAGATGTAGTTTGTCCTTAAGATCCTCATGTTCAGATATTTTGGGGTACTTAATTAAAGGCAAGAGCAATATTCTATCTGGCTATACTGCATAAGTATCAGTAAGGTGGGTAAAGGAGAGCAGCAGGCCATCAAATTAAACTGGTTGGCTTGCTATCAAATAGCAAGCTAATTGAAATGACCCTTTGTTCTGCAAACAATGAGGGGGGTCACTAACACTTATGCTTAATTTGGTCATCAGTTATACTTTAGGAAGGAAAAAATTTGTTAAGACCTTTCCAATATGTAAAATACACATTTCACATATGGTAATTCACATATAGTTCTGTACAGTGAAATGATTCCTGTGCTCTAGCAGATGGCCCATACTAGTATGTGTTTTGATACACACAGGAAAAGAAAAATATTCTTGAGTACATGCATTCAAAATGCCTCCATATCTTGAAGCACAATATTATTTTAATGGCTTATTTATACTCTACTATAATTGATTGTGAAATGAATGTAAGATTTTTCCCCCTGAATTTGGAAAATATGGTGTCAATGTTTTTGTTTGTGTCGTTTTAAAGGCTGAATCATAGAAAGCTGTTAAAGTAAGGAATAGTGATTAGGCTCAGTCCCAGACATTTATGAATGATTCAGGAAAGGATTTAAGTAAAAGATTAGTGTTTAAGAGTTCAGAGTGTCAGGTAAGAGGTACGACACCAAAATGACTAGCTGTAAGAGAAGATCACCACAGCTGCCTCATCTCGAGGTTCAACAGAAAGAGATGAAGGTGAACCTCACCAAAAGGATGACTCCTCAGTGCCAAAATGCTACGTAAAGCTCTCTGAACACTTACCATTCGTTACTGAAAAATAAGTTTCCATGATCTACCTACCTGCAATAATCCCATCTCACAAGGCAGACACTGCATTCTAGACGGATGGGGTTTACTGGCCTCCAAAGTAAGGAATTTCCTGCAGGGCTCTGGGTCCACTCTGCTTTTCTATGTTTTTTATGCCTAACCCTGGAGACAATTTCCTTTCAGAAAACTAAGAAAAACAGTTCCCCCTAAAAGAAATTCTAGGTTTTCTGGCTAATATAAATGCAAAAGACCCCAAAATACTGAGAATCTGACTTGAAAATAATTTTTGCTAACATTAAGTGACCTTTGTAAAACTGGTATGTGATTCTTTCCAAATCTAAGTTCTCTGATGGCCAAATTAAACCATGGCCAATATTACAAATTCAGCAATGTCATAAAACATTTTTACGTTCTCTGAACTCTCACATTTACTGCCTCATCTGAAGTCTATAATTTTAGCACCATAACTGGTGCTTCCAATTTAG